CATACATACATACATGCATACACAATTATAGAGGTGAAAGAGAAGCGTGTTTTAAAAATTTGAAGTTTTTAAAAGAAGCCATTTTCGGTTTCGTTTCGGTTTTCGGCCAAGTGCATCCTAAATTTTCGGTTTCGGTTTCGGCCCAGAATTTTCATTTCAGTGCATCACTAGAAACAACAAAGCAGGATGGTCTGTGTCAACCCCAGAAGCTATGCTTGGTGATGGTTAAGGAAAGCACGGGGTATACCGCTTGTTAGATTCCGATAGTGGAAGCACAGCAAACGCGTTTAACTGTAAACCACAAGCTAAAATCCTCATCAGACCCAGGTTCATTTCTTAGAACTGGGTTGTTTAAGCCTCATCCTGACTTTCATCAAACAATTGGCTGTTCACTGTTCACAGGTGGGAAGCAATGTTTCTTACAGCACTAGGAGCATTCTAGCTGGTGATGACAATAAGCAACCAGTCGATTTGGCAATATTTTGTTCACACATAACTTCCCTATTTCTTTGTTGACAATAACTTCCCTATTTCTTTGTTGACGTGCTACTTCCAAGTTTACATTAGTATTTGGCACTTTGGCAGAGACTGCAGGCACCCTGAGCAGGATCAAACAGCTCTGCTGTTTAATGGTTTTCAGCTTAAAATGTTCTGAAATATTCGGATCCATTTCAGTTATAAATGGTTGCAAATACAGGTACTGTACATTAGTGGGAGGTTACAGTGAATGTATGTGTGCATGCTGCTTAACTTTGGAGCATACCAGTACAAAGAAGTAAGACGGTAGAGGCACGCCATATTCTCCAGGAAAAACCGCCTCCATGTACCAGGCCACCAGCCCGTAAAGCACAGAGTCAAACAGCAGCAGGAAGAGAACCTGAGCCAGGGAGAAGTCATCATCCACTGTCACAGAGTCAAATAGGTTATGCCACTGGATTCCTGTACCTATAGTAGAAGAAGTGAACAAAATTAACATACATACAAGTGTGTACAACAAATTTAGGGACTGCTGGGTGACAAAATCTTTAACATGAACATCAAGACTCACCTTTGCCTTCAAACATTCCTATAAGCTGAGCACCCATGGCCATAGCCACGTTGGAGATGAGACATGCTGACACCTTCTGGGCATGGCTCAGTAGGTCATAGCGTGGCCACAGGAACAAATAAGGCAGGTAGCTCAGGAAATAGATAAAGCCACCTACTGGTGCTGCCACATTGGCTGAAGTCAGAAATAAAAAAAGAAAAGGTTGACAGGATGCTGAACAATAACAATATTCATGTAGCATTAAATAATATAAGGCTTGGCAAAAAAAAGCTAATGAACTGAATAGTGCCATCACAGCTGGAACACTGAATTAAATTAAATACACATGCATGCATTTGTAGATAAGAGCTGAAGGGTAAATTACTATGTGAAGAGAACTGCTTTAACTGTGTAACCCATTTCCCTGATTGACAGAGAGCTATTCAGATGAACCACTGAGGAGGACAAATGAGAGATAGGCGAGGGGGTGAAGAAAGCTGAGTTCTGTGGATGAGGAGATGGAATCATTTTAGGGCTGTTTTTGCTTCCGTTTCCAGCATGACAAGACCTCTGAAACGAGCACTTGTGGCAGACAATGTGATACTCTGAGCCCGCTTGGAACATGGACTGATTAAGCACCATCATCTATTCCTAAAAAGTAGTGATGGTGGTAGTAACAGTGGGTGGGGAGAATTATCCAGACAGCTGCACACACAAAGACAGCCCAGAGAGAACAGCCTGTCTTTTGTCCAAAAATGGCCAAGGAGTGCTCTGAAGGTTCATTTCTGCTGGTGTGGCCTATTTTCTGTAAAGGTCCCTCTTCTTCTTCGGTCTACAAATCAACATTTAAAAAGAAAATCCTTGAACCTACTTAGTTCATTAGTTTATCTGAGTTTTAGCTACTTTAAATGTATATATTGTGAAGTATCACAGGGATGATTATGTGGTTTATTTAGTTCACAAGGTTTAGCACCACTATTTCAAAGATTTTAGTCAGAATGTCAAATATTACAAGTGGACAGTTATTATTCATGGACCAAAGGTGACAACTGGACAGAGAAAGCAGGAAGGAGACAGGAGGAGAAGGACAAGATTTAAAAAATGACACCTAAGGTACTCAACCTGATTATGCCAGTGAAATAAAGGAAAACGGTCTAGACAGGTGACAGAGCACATTACATTAGACAGAGGGCAGAAATACAATATGATTAACTGAAAGAGTTTCAGCACCTCATTTTAAATCAACAAAATGGAAAATTTGTCTACTACTTAGCTCCTGTCGGGGGAAAAAGGCTTTTAAGGTTTAATCATAATCAAGTTCAGGATTTGTATGACAACTCTAAAAAGCCAAAAAGAAACATAAAATTCATAAAATGTACGACAGCTTTGCAAAAGGCTAAATAAAACTGAGCTGCCAAGCATTTGCAATATGAGCTGCTTTGCTGAGAAAACTGGAAGGGGATGGAGAGACCACACACTGCTGCATATATTGTTCATTTCTGCAAAACAAAGCACCAGAGTGTATGGAAAAGGGCACGTAAGACACAAAGAGACTGACAGTCAAAAAAAGAGACAATGATTCAGAAAAAGATGGGTAGACCCACACAAACGCACCTCGTGAGAAGAAGGCACTGATCATAAAGCTGAAATTGATGGTGGCCACAGTGAAGACGAGCAGAAAGACAAAGACCAGAGTGGGGTCACTGTAGGTCAGCACTGCTCCGTTAGGGCTCACCTAAAACAACACATTCAGCTTCTGTGCTCAGTCACGACTTGCTGAGACACACTTACAGCCTCTAAACAAAAATATTCCTGTACTCAATAGGTTAATCACGATGTTAACCTAATTTCAGTAATTACAGTTTGTATTTATAGTAAAATACTGCTGCAGATAATAAGAGCATTACCTTTTCACTCAACTAAAGACTACCATAATATGTGGTAAAGGTATTACGTTATGTGAATTATGTAACTATATTGTGACGAAGCTCACCTGGATGCAGAGCAACAGAGTAACAAAAAATACTGAAATGGAGAGGAACAGGAAAAACATGAGGAACCAGGCGCTCCAGTGGAGCCAGTTGCTAAGACCCATCATCCTCATGTACTCCTGAGACACACAAGAAAAGGCAGAGATAAAGGATCAGCCTGACAGTGTCATTACTAATTTCAGCAACACAACAACAGCCTGTGTAGATAAACACAAACACACCTTGAGCTTCCTCTCCTTTTCCTGCACCACCGCTCGTACTATGTTGAGGGAGGTGTAGGTGAAGCTGAGCACCAATAACAGGGGCAGTTGGTTCTGAATGGCGAGGATGAAGACGTCATATATAAAGGCAGGGTATGGAAACCGCGACAGGACCACTCTGATCTGTCGCAGCAGAGGAGCAGCAGCGGTTCTGTTGTAAGAGCGCATGATGGCTCGGTCCACCGCGTGCTGCACTGCCAGAAAGCCCTCGCGGAAATAACCTTAACAAAGAAAAGAGACAGTAAAACTGCAGAAAAGATGTTAGCACCATTATATCATATCATAATAATCTGTCTTGACGAACAAAAGTGGGGCTGCTTTTGTGAATTACTATGCACGTGGAGGTTGGGAATTCATATTAATGTGACTCTAAAAGCTTGTCCGTGTATATTATGTGCTTAGGACGGCTAAATCTTTTGAAGTATGCCTCTTGGTCTCACACATAACTTTGGTATTTCATTATGAAAAAAGGCCAGCAGAGCAGTGTCTCCTCTAATCCTCAATTGAACATCACATTATTTAAACCTGACAAAAGAAAGTGAGGGACACATGTGAAGATTAGGAACAGCTGATCCGTCCTGAATGGTGCCCGACACCTTACAAATGACCCGCAGATGATGCAAGGGCAACAGCGTGTCCCCTGACAGTGCCAAAACTAGATAACACTGATCACGCCAGAGATGTGCAGGGCTGCAGTTGCCGTGGAAACACAGGCTAAAGCGAGAGCTCTTGTTCTATACAGATAGCAAAAACTAAGAGCTTTTCATCAATCATAGTGTCTGTCCAAGACAGGATGTTCTGCCTTGAAAGACAAAGAAAAGGACAAATAAAGAGAGATAAAAACAGAAGATCTAGGGGTCTGGGGGATTCTCACCAGGCGTGCCCCCCTCCTTGTCATACTGCTCTCTTGGCCCTGGCATCTGAAAAAGGGGATAGAGGCTGAGCGTGTGCCAGTCCAGGTCACTGTTCGGGTTCAGCTCCGACTTCTCCTTTGGTGGGGCATTGCGTGGCGTGAAGGAGAATCGCAGGTGGTAGCTCACCTTAATACGAGAACACAAAAAGAACTCAAAGTCAGGAGATCTGAACAAATCTAAGAGGAGTGGAGGGGTGTGAATTTAACACACAACAGGTCTCAGCTTAGCTTCAAGTAGTGCACTTAGTCAGTTGCATAATAGAGTGAATAAATTAACTAAGCAGAAAATAATCCAACACTATGTAGTACATAAAAGAATTGTAGAATGTTTAGGACAATTAAAATACAGTGGGGCAAATAAGTATTTGATATACCGCCAATTTTTCAAGTTTTCCCACTTACAGAGAATGGACAGTTCTGTAATTTTCATCATAGGTACACCTCAACTGTGAGAGACAGAATCTACAAAAAAATTCCAGTAAATCACATTGTTAGATTTTTAAATAATTTATTTCCATTTTATTGCATGAAATAAGTATTTGATACAATAGAAAAATACTGTAGAACTTAATATTTGGTACTGAAACCTTTGTATACAATTACAGAGGTCAGATGTTTCCTGTAGTTCTTGACCAGGTTTGCACACACTGCAGCAGGGATTTTGGCCCACTCCTCCATACAGGTCTTCTCCAGATCTTTCAGGTTTTGGGGCTGTTGCTG